TTTCAGCCTAGCGCTGATTGTGAGTATAAACATGAACGACATCTAACTCGTGACTAGCTTTAGTGCCTCCGAGTCTTGATTTCGCAATCTAGCCGTGCCAAGAAATTCAAGGGTTGCTTCTCACAATCAGTTCAGGATGATTTATCAATATGCGCCTTACTTTCTGACTTGCTCAATTTGTTTCCAGAGTTTGATTGCAGCCACTGAGAAATTCTGCAGCACCAGGCGAGTTTTAAGAACCAAAGAGGGCAGCTCCGAATCCGAATGGATGTTTGAGACCATACTTGAACTGAAATGCTGTCTTTATGAGATCGTTATAAAAAGTGAATTTAGGCGGTATCTCCAGAAATTTCGTCACCTGAGTAAGTTCATGAAGAGAACGTCTTCGGAGAGCGCTAGGCCCATGTTGGAAATTGCCTAAATTGTAATTATAAAAAACCTTAAACGAGTCCTAAAATTATGCTCAGATAAAGTTGGCTCGCACGTAAGAGGCTATAGCCTTCCTTTTCTCTGGAAAAAAGGTTCCTTTTCCAGGGATCACTCGCTTCAGCGGCTGCTGCGCCTGATGAACGGCTCCACCACAAAGGCGGCTTGTTAGCAGCGTACGAACGGAACTAAAGCAGCGTATTTGGGACAAGCTGTACTCACCGAAGAGTTCACGACGAACTCGGCAAAGTTGTCGCAGTGACGCGAAAAACGTTGAAACATTGACGGAAATTTCAGCAGTGGTGTAGATGTCCCCGAACATCGCTGGAACCAAACGTATTAAAAGATAGAAATCGTGAAATTTGTGACAACCTATTCATTTCCATTTATTTCACGTTATAATTTGGGGTTGGTCCTGTAAACCAAATGGGACCATGTGATGCATATGATGGACCACGCAACCACGGGTTTCCTTGGCTTTCCTTTTGAAAAGCACTGATCACGTAGCTGAAGGACGGTGCAATTTTAATGGCGTCATTGGAATTTATAGGTGGAACCAACTAGGGTCAACGAGGCGTTGTGCGGGTTTCAACGAGAGGAGTTGTATCCCAATTTCTTTGGAGGGAACCGTGCGGGGGAATCTCCTGAGTAGGGCTCATGACGCTGGTGGGGGATCTTATCTAGACTCTCTAAAAGTTAGAGAGGGAAGGGGTCGTAAACTTTTCTTGAAATCTGCTCAGAGCACGGTGGTCTTCGTTTCAAGCACACTCTCATGATCAGTGCGCTGAGAAGTCTGGTCCACCACTACCCCTCCATGACGTCATTAGAACCACAGTGACAGCGGTCACCGTGATCACTGCCTTTGAGGTGCAGGATGGAAGGAGAAAGCATCCCGTTTCGGATGCGCCACGCATTTTACTTACATTCAGAATGACAAGTTGAATACGATTTGGCTTATAAAATGACTTGCGGGGCCAGCCGATGATACAAGTCAGTGTTTTTATCCTCCCAGACAAGTCTGTACCAATTAACCGAATCTGGAGGGTGGAAGGCTTGGATGGCCCGAATGACGCACGGCCCAGAACCCACCGTTGGTCCCCGTACTGCGCTCATGATATTCAACGCCACTTGCCACCACATCATTTCCGCCCTCAGGCTTTATCGAGACGCAGTAGCAAAAATAAGAGAAAATGCGGATATTTACTAAGTTTGGCTGGCCGCAATGGTTTAATAGCACGACCCACGTTTATATCAGTGAAGTGAAGGCCTAGCAAGGGAGAATGATTGGCAAAAGTACGGGCTTACCGACCTCGTAGCACGAAATGTCAAGCAAAGGCGCTAAGAAGTTAGGTTTTACCGGGACCCAATCCACTCTAGTTTGTCTCCACACTCTTTCCTTGCCGATTACTTCGCATCTCTACTTTCATTTCGCGTAAAATAGCCATATCAGCGTGATCCTGGGGAGTGCCTTTGAAAAAGGATTCCACGGTTGGAACGAAGGTTGCAGAAGGGAAGTTACCTACTGGAGAGATAGGCGGACCTCCTATATAGGCCGTGCGGACCAACACGCATTTCACATCGAAGCCCCGGACGATCTAGCCTAGCCTTCTCCACGGAGCAGTTGGTGCGCTTTTGGCGCGGTACCCCCCTCTCGCGTTCTCCTGTGTCTGATCTCTGGCCGTTTAGCAGAGAGAGCGTTAGCGTTGAAGAGGGCAGCACCGATGAGAGTCGCATCAATGCGCAAATCAACGGGCAAGGAAGGGGTCCCATTTCTCGGGTTCTAGGCCATTTTCTCGGTTTTTCTTCTTTCGTGTATCACTGACCATCTCTAACTTGATTTACAAAGGGCTGCCTTTTTTGTCGTAGAATCCACCGCTAACAGTTAATGGGTTTAAAATTCTTCTCACTCCATGTTGATAGTGTCACTTCTGTTGAGTGTGCTAACTGGGAATTGAAACAATCATTCACCTCGCTGATTTTTCGCTGACGTTTCGAAACATGTGGCACATAGCATCGACTGTAAAGGTCTGAGTAGACATCTGAGACACGTTGACAAATTTGCCTGTAATAAACTCGTTGGAGAAACTTGTTCAGGATAGTTGAAGAGATGTTCTTCGACCCACATTCGATCCATGTTGTCCCGTTCGTAGAGTGCTTTGAATAAAGATGAATACAAGTACAAATCGAAGTGCTCTTCTTTAGCCACTAGCCGGCCTTTGTCACAAATCTTAACAAATTATATGCTGTCATGAAACACATATGTTTTCGACTGAAAAACTTCTGACCGCGCCTGGCAAACGCAGGCGTTTGGGATAAAACGGGCATAGAATCGAGGTATCAGCGCCACATACTTCGTCTCGCGCCTGCTTCCATTTCAGAATCGTAACCTTGGCTGCCGTGCCGGATCTAACGCGGTATACATCAGTGTTTCATCCCCTCCACAAGGCTCTCAGTTATATCCAATTACATCGATTACAAATAATCGTTCCAGCTCGCGATCATATCCTGGACGGTGCAAGATCCTACCGATTTAGTCTTTCGACGTACACGTAATAGGGAGCACCCAACTTCCACTGCCCCCATTTCCCAGAAGCCTGAAGCGATACTGTGTGCTTACGCTCTGATTTCACCCCAATCGAAGCGTCACCATCACACTTTTACTGGCCGCCTAATCATACACTGAAGCGGCTAGTACTAGCGAAGGTGCTTGCCGGAAGCAAGCAAATCGTCTTGGTCAAACAGGGAATCATCAAAGGGGACCCGCTATCGCAGTTGATTCATTCTACAATTCCTGCAGAGTTTTAGATACAATGCGCTCGATCCTAAAGAGCGACCGAAATAACCTTATTTGTGACTTAATTTTCTGAATTATGCTCTTAACATAGGCAAGCGAACGCGCCTCGTGGAAATGTGCCCTGGTGACTTGGAGAAAATTCCAAACAAGTGGATTAAACTTCATCCCCAAAAGGAGCAAAGATTGGCTCTCTCTGGTTCCCTGATACCTTGTTCATTTAGCATTTGCTTCTTCTTCTTCTTCTTCTTCAGTCTTACATGTGTGAGATGTGATCAAGAAGGATCTAAGTGAAGTCATGGCCACAGCAGAGGACGCCCTGGACAACTAAAGTGGCGACGACTGATTCCTTTTTTGACTTTAGACATATTTGTTGTGACGGGGGTCTTCATCAGCCGGCCTGTCAACCTGGGCCTGACGCTGGTACTAGAACCATTTTTGCAATTTTTGCAAGGCATGGTTTAGAGCCTCGGCAGGGATCGAACTCGCGGTTTTTCAGAGGTGCAGACATGAGTCTAACCTCTTAACCACTCGGCTATCCCTGCCCCCTTACAAGGCACTCAGTGGACGAAAAAACTGACCAGAGCGTAGGCGTACTTGAGAAACTTTGTCTGAAAATGACGATGATAAGAATGAGCGAAACGACTATAGGCAAATATCTGATTGACCTCACAGAACCTGAATAGTACACTTTATTTAAGGTGAAAAGCAATAACTGATCTCCTTCTTCCGCTCACCTTAACGATCGCATCATCCACACCAAACCCTGATCCTTTTTTGGCACAAATTTTGCGAAATCCGGATAACATAGCACATATTTCTCCATGTAGAAATTTATCTAAAATACAATTTTGAATGCATCGAACACTAATATTTCAGCACAGCCCTGAAGCGTGCCGAAGGCTCCGCCACTTTCCCTCGCCATCTAGCCCTTTTACGATATCCTGATCATTCCAAAAACTATGTCGATGGCCTCTATTTGCGATATGAGGGCGGAGCTGGTGTAGTGGCAGGGCCGCATACCATGCTAATCATCGACAAAAGGATAAAGGATAAAGCATTTGCCGTTGATCAATCCCTTTTTGGGATGCGGCACGCATTCTACTTCCATTTGTACATTCGTAGTGGCGTTTGAATGCGATGTGGCCTATACAATGACTTGCGGGGGCCAGCCGATGATGTACAAGTCAGTGTTTTTATCCTCCCAGACAAGTCTGGTACCAATTAACCGACCCCGGAGGGATGGAAGGCTTGGTTGGCCCGGGCGACCCAGGATTGATCCCGGACGTGGTAAGCGTGCCACTTGCCACTTCACCACTCTCACCTCTATTCATTCCCATTTTGTCGTTTAATTAGTACCAGATCGATCTGGAAGGATAAAAATGCTGAGTGATTCATCGGCTAGTTCGCGGCAGTCGTTTTATTTCCAAGATTGCATGAAACTCTTACTACAACTCTAATAGAGGTGGAATGCGTGGCGCATTTTGGAAAGGGTCGATCTTCGCTCGATGCATTGTCCTTAACCTCTTATTGTGTCGAACAAGCGATAAGGCTTTCAGAAGGGTGAAAATGTGGAGTATGTTACCTCCAACTACTCAGTGATCTTTATGAAAAGCTACATTTTCAGGTTCCAACGATTTTAAGGAT